GTCTGTGTGTCTGTGTGTCTGTGTGTCTGTGTGTCTGTGTGTCTGTGTGTCTGTGTGTCTGTGTGTCTGTGTGTCTGTGTGTCTGTGTGTCTGTGTGTCTGTGTGTCTGTGTGTCTGTGTGTCTGTGTGTCTGTGTGTCTGTGTGTCTGTGTGTCTGTGTGTCTGTGTGTCTGTGTGTCTGTGTGTCTGTGTGTCTGTGTGTCTGTGTGTCTGTGTGTCTGTGTGTCTGTGTGTCTGTGTGTCTGTGTGTCTGTGTGTCTGTGTGTCTGTGTGTCTGTGTGTCTGTGTGTCTGTGTGTCTGTGTGTCTGTGTGTGTGTCGTATAACTCATGAACCGATACATAGAAAAACACCAAATTTTAAACTTAAGCTTTGTTCTAGCGTCCAATGTGCTGATTAGATTTTGGGCAGTGTCGGAATATCTGGGGGGGTACTTTATAGGTGGTCATTTTTATATTTTATAGAATATATCTGTTATTTACGTTTGGAAAAAAAACTTTTTCAAATAAAAGTTACTTGTTATATTATTATCTAAAATTTTTGTATCATACAAAATTTTCCTAAAATGGTCCGTATTCGGGAAATTTGACAAAATGTAAAAAAATATTTTTTTATAAAAATTGTTCAAACAAAAGTTGTTTGTAATATAATTCTCTATAATTTTTATTTTAAACATAATTTCTCTAAAATGGACCGTATTCGAGATATTTGAGAAAATGTGTAAATTTCGAAATTTGAAGAAAACTCAGAAACGGATAAAGAAAAAACATTAAATTTTAAACTTAAGTTTTATTTCAGCCTGACGTAAAATGATTAGATTTTGGACAAAGTCGGAACATCTGGGGGGGTACTTTAGGGGGGGCCGGTTTTATATTTTATGGAATATATCTGTTATTTATGTTTGGAGAAGAAAATTGTTCAAATAAAAGTTACTTCTAATATTATTATCTATAATTTTTGCTTTATGTCAAAATTTCCTGAAATGGTCCGTATTCGAGAAATTTGACAAAATGTGCAAAATTCTGATTTTTATGAAAATTGTTGAAATAAAAGTTGTTTGCGATATCTATCTCTATAATTTTTGTTTTTACATGATTTTTCTAAAATGGACCGTAATGGAAAAATTGTAGGAAAAGTGCTAAATTTAAATTTTTCAGTATTTTCAAAATAACCGGAAAAAGCCTGTAATAACTAGATAGGATGTGTTGGACACATCAGATTTTTATGTATGTTTAGCGATAATGCTTTACCACCTTATCCGATTTATATGATTCTTTTTTTGTTAGTAAGGGGGTACCTCAGGAGTGGTCCCATATAAATTTGATTAAGATGTGGTGATGGCATCTGCACGTGTTTGAAGTCGGTTTTTTACTTGTATATTAAAAACTTATGTGAAAGTTATAAATAAACTGAATTTGAAAACATAATTTTATTATGAATATTAAAAAAAATTAAAATTAATATACTTTTGGTGATAATTCCCATATAGAACAGGATTATTTCATTCTTAATTCCAACTAGCAGTAATGTTATCCTTTGATTTTAAATGAGTAAGAGTTTGTGGTGTTGGTGGTCTACTTTCACAGTGTCAAAGTCAAAGTAACAATAATCAATATTTTTTAATAATGGTTCACTCGGCTTTAATACCCGTGGAGTAAGGGGTAATTCATTTGACTCGAAATCTCTTATTGAGCTTAGATTACATTCATAAGCACGTTTTAATTTGTTTTCATCCCGCTGTTTTTTGCTTGGCCTTCTTCGTGGCATTTGATATACTAATTAATTATAATACAAAAAATAATCATGAAAATTCCACACCTGTAATTTTGAACCAATCAAAATACGTGTTTTTGACAGATCACCATGGCAACGGAGGTATTTTAGTGGAATTTTTTTTCTCGTGGGGTACCCAACAGCGAATTATACTGGAAATTTTTTGACGTTTACAATAACAGACCATTTTTGACAGACTGGTTTTTATTTGTTCACATAATAGGTTTAGTTTTGATACATTTTAGTTACAATGCTAAGGTGTTTTCTATATTCTTCGGCCACTTCTTTTCTTCTTAATGGCGAAAATGCAGGACTTTGGATGCTTTGAATTATGTGTCGATGTCTAATAAAATATATATATTTATTCACCTTTTTCCCATTCAGCACTTTGAATTTTGCGTAGTTTAGGTGCAAATATTCGTGGACAATTCGGAACAAATTTTCATTTTTCAAGTTGGAGCCACAATCCTCTATTAATCCGAGTAAGTAAGTCATGGTGCAATGATTGATCATTACATCAGACAATTTCACGCATATTTTGCATAGCGTATGATTTTCAAATCGATTCATTTTTAAACAAATAGATAATTTTGTTGGTTTTACTTGCTGTGCAATATTCTTTATCGCAACAAAACGCGAGTTATTTAATGTTTTGAACTGTCAAAATACAATGATCACAGCCTCCTACGATTGATGCTTGCTGACGCAGGTTATGAATTTCATACCATTTTAAAGCGCTCATAACGCATGTTAATAGAAACGCAGAAAAACAATTTTCTACCACTTGTAGTTATTCAAAACTTACGTAAAATTAAAGAATATACTATTTTCTATTTTCAAATGGTATTCCCATGCAACTACAATGAGTAGAAATAAGCAATTTGAAGGTCTAAATAATTGCAGCGAAACATTTTTTTACGTCGGGCCGCTTGACAACTTCAAAACTGAAATTATATTCGAGGTTAGGGTCTCACTTAGTTACCATGACAACTCAACAATCAAGGCGACAACACCTTTTATGTTTCACTGGTGACTTGGAGAAAATAATTTGCATTGTTGAGAAACGAAAAATAAATTTTAAAAATATTTAATTTTCAACCATAATTCGGCGTGGAATTTTCTTACCGAATACCACGCGAGGTCAAATTAATATCAGGAAATTTTTTGACCTCTAGTGGTATTACTAGTGAAAATAATGCTAATTTTACCACTAGCCCGTCTTAAATTACTAGTATTATTCATACACCATCAGTACTAAATTAAACACGCTCATATACTGCTGGTGTACAAAATTTTACTTTCGTAATCGGGTTTTTAGTGAACAAATTTTTTTATTGTTTGTGATATTTCCCTTCACTTGAATGATGTGTAAATTAAACACGCTCATCTACCGCAGGGCCGTATCAACTAACTAATAAATTTATTAAATATTATTTAGGCGCCTCCACCATGTCACAAAGTGGTCATCAGTCTAGAGGGTATTGTAGCTCAGATTTTATCTGACGACGCCACAACGAGCTCTAGCTCGCCACGCTATATTCTGAGTAGCCCGGACTTTCCCAAAATTTGAATAAAGTCTGCTCAACCCAAAATACAACCTGAAGAGGGGTATTTATTTACTTTTAAGTTACTTAATTACTGCTTGTAGAAATAAGAATTAAAATTACTAATTATAAAAAAATATATATTTATTAATATACCCAATAGTTATTATTTACATACAAGTATACACAAAAAATATAAATGAGAGATAAACTAAGAACCAAAAATGAAATAAAAGTTTACTTAACAAAATAACTAAAAAATTATTGATAAACAACCTATACTTGAAAATCGAAAGCAAATCTACATCTATTAATAATGGTACAACGTCCAAACCTTATTTAATTTTAGTCACACGTCATGTCCTCGAAATTTGTTGGTGCAAATAAACCTAGGATTCTAAGATTAACAACAAATTTGCAGTGATAAGAACATCACTGTCACAAATATCTACTAACAGAAGTATCTCTTATCTGACTCATATAATATAAAAGAACTTGCGAAACATTTATTAGATAGTCTTCATTGATAAATTTGAAAATTTGTAAACTAAAATAAAGATGAATAACTTGGTTGTAACAGTAGTAGGAATTATTGTGCTATTTGGTTTTTCAAAAGCCAGAAGTATCAATGATTATCCTAGTGAAATAGATTTAAATTTAAGCAAAGTTAGAAAAACCCCTATACAACAATGTAAGATTTTGGTTATTTTTGTTTAACTAAATAGATGTAGATATAAAGATAATAATATTTGATGAGAAAAATATCTGAAATCTCTGCGTATTTTAAGTTTTTTGAAAGCAATTTGATTTTGAAAATTGGTTTAAAACAAAACTATCAGTGTTTAACTGATTAAATATTAAACAAATAATTTTTTTTTCAGGTAATTCTAATTTAACAGTGGTAAACGTACAGTTTTTTTCCCGTGATAAACTTTGTACTGAAGCGCCTTGTCAAATTTATGCTGGTGAAGAAGTGTTCATGGTTATCAATTTTAAAGCACGTAAGTACTAAGTATTACCATGACCATCACCAAATCAACTATACCAACATTAAATTATTTTCCCCTTATTTTAAACATTGAAATGTTCTATTATTCTGGACAGGGCCGGCCCCAGGATAGGGCGATCCGGGCGGCCGCCCGGAGCGCAATGATCTAGGGGCGATAAAATCATGGAAAATAAATGGAAATGGAAAAATAAACTGATAATAGCTATTTAAGTACCAAGGGCGTAATAAGGATAATTATGTCCGATGGGCATAATCATCTATTTACGCCCGTAGTGCATACAAGATTTTATATTTCACTTCAATTTAAATTTTTCCTCACAAAATTGAAATTCCTGAAATAAAATCAACAAGTACACCTAACCATAGCAACGTAGCACGCTTTGATTAAATTTATATAAAACATAACAGAAAGTTTTGAAATAAACGTCAAATATTCAGTTTGTTTACATTTTGAAATTCGCAATAATAGAAAAATGAGAGTTTTTAGGATTGAAATTGTAGTTTTTATAAAATCAGGAAACCATTTTAATTAAAGTTCGTTATTTATAACAAGTCTTTCTTAATGATAAATCGTTTTTTAAGACAGTACAAACGGGGGCATAATAGCGGGCGAAATAAATTCATTATGCCCTCGTCTCTAAGATACATGTTTACATATCTCGAATCAGGCGCGAAATGAACCTGTTATTTTGAAGTGATTTAAAAAATATTAAGTTACAGGCTTTTATAAAATGCACTAAAAAGTAAAATAGTATATTGTTTCACGAGTGACGAAAAAAATGATTTTCGACGAGTAAAACACTATACTTTTTCTACGAACTCTATTATGTCATGTAGGTACCTACTAAAATGAAAAAAAAAAAAAACAAACGTTAGCAAATGCTTTATTTTGTGTTAGGAATAACAAAAACTTAACCAACAATTAAATATTTCAGAAATATTATTTATTATTTAAATATTGATTTATTGTTATATTTGAACAATTGTTCAAAATTATGGGGGTATCACACTCAAGCTTTTTATTTATTGAGGTAGATGCCGACATATTTGTTCTATTGTTAAATGTCATTTCAGATGATGATGCGCCATAATCGGATGAACTAGTAGTTTCCTTATTTTGTACAGTTTGTAAAATTTTGGTTTGTATTTTGGTTTTTACTGTTCGTGGATTCATCAACATATCCTTCCGCAACACTACTAGATTTCCAACCACCGTGCTTTTTTAACAGAAGCAAGTCACCTCCTGCATTCACTAATAGCGTTGCGGATGTTCTACGGAAACAGTGCCCAGTGTAATCTTGAGGATTCGGAAGCGTTAAAAACTGAGCAATTTCGTTAGGAAATTTACTGATTTTATTAATTCCAACAACCTGTCTGCTACACTTTCCATTCTGATAGTTAATAAAGAATCTGGAATTAATTTGATCCATGTTTGCGGGACGTAGGCTCATATATTTTTTAGAAATATCATAAAAGGGTCCAGAAATATGAAAAGAACGCGGAACTTTTGTTTCTGTATTACGGATTTTAACTAACAGAATACTTCCAGTATCCTTTACATCGCTTATTGTTAAATCTTTTAGTTCGTGGCAACGACAAGCGCCAGATAATCCAAAAACTAATGCTACCTACAAATATTAGTAGTTATGTATTAAGTATTTGTTAAAATAAAAATAATAATTCTGTTACCTTTGTTATTAAATATTTATAGTCAGGTGCATTCTTTAGGAAAGTCTTAATGTCTTCAGGTGAAAAATTTTTGTATATTTGGCTTTTAAAACCATCAGATTTTCTTTTCAAAAGCGAACATAACTTTGGATATTTACTAATATCGACATCATTTTTAACAGAGAGTGTAGTTCTTAGCATCGAATAAATGGACCATAACGTCGACGGTTTAAAATTTGAAAAAGAAGTTGTACTTCGAAACATATGTCATGTTAGTGTTTTTTTAAAAATTTTTAAAAAAAATTTTTATTTTTAAAATAAAAGTGTGAAAATCTACCAAATTTGGTTTTACTCTTTCAAAATTAAAAAGCGGAGATTGAACAAGCAAACACAGCTTCAAAAACAGTCGGATGCGCTGCAGAACTTCTTGAAAGAAGGTAGTTTCAACGCTCCCACAACCGACCAACATTTAAACAACGCCCAGCACCTAGATACTGACTTTCCGGATATGGGCCCCCCTTTGGACGAAACCGTTAGCATTACTGAGCTGGGTAAGTCATCTCAAATGAGTTTGGCGAGTAGTGATGCAGTTCCGTGCAGTTCCAAAAATCAAAATTCGCAAGTTGTGCAGACCTCAAAAAAACATTTGGAAAAGGCTACCGTCCAGAGTATCTCTTCTGACCCAGGTTTATGTCCCGAAATCATGCGTGCAGCAGATAGAGTTTTTTTGGTTAAACGTGGTTCAGCTGCACCTTTGTATAATTTTGATTTTCCGTTTGATGATCAGTATAGAAGATTCTCACTAAAACATTACAAGAAATGGCTTAGAAATGGAGAATAGGTTTTAAGAGAATGGATGGTATATTCCGTATTTCAAAACGTTTTGTACTGTTTTCCATGTCAACTTTTTTCTGCACCATCTAGCCTCAGCGCTCTTGGCAATCGGCAGGCTTGTAGGCTGGAGGCATTTAGGGGACTCTTTAGCACATCACGAAAATGCTAAAACTCATATAGATTGTTTGAAATCATGGCTTGAATTGAAGCAAGGATTGGAAATAGGTGAAACAATGGATGCAGTTTCTCAGAGATTCATTGATTCTGAGATAAATCACTGGTCTGAAGTTCTTTTACGCGTTATATCAGTCGTTAAAATGCTAGGTGGGAGCTCTCTAGCTTTTCGAGGAACAAGCGATAAACTGTATGAACACAATAATGGAAACCTTTTGATGTTAATTCAGTTGTTGGCTAAGTTTAATCTAAAAATGGAGGATCACGTTCCTCAATAAAGAAGAAATCAAAACTACATATCTACGGAAAACTATACAAAATGAAACAATTGAATTATTGCATGACAACATAAAGCACCACATCATTGAGCAAGTTTAAAAGGCCAAGTATTATTCCGTGATTCTTGACTGTACTCCCGATGCAAGTAGAGTAGAATAGATGACATTTGTGGTAAGACTTGTCTCCATACAGGAATCAGAGTCTGAAGTTCTAGGTAACATCAACAGCTAAGCAGTTGTCGGAGGTTTTACTAGAAGAGCTGGAGAAAAATAGGCTTAAAGTAGAAAACATGCGCGGTCAAGGGTATGACTATGACAATGGTTCCAATATGAGAGAAGAAAAATCGGAAGTACAAACAAGAATCAGAAATATAAACCACAGAGCATTTTATGTATTAACGTAAAATAATTGGTAAATTTGCGATTCTAATTTATATTTTCTTTATTTTTAGTTCGAAAGAACCCATAAAAATTACTGATTAAAATTGGTTTCCTATCAATAAGTTACAAGATTGCATTTCAGCCACATACAATAATCAAAGGCAAAAATCTAATCCTTGCTCAACATTTAAGAGTTAAGGGATGTTGTACAACATTGTAAAATATTAATTTATTGTTTATTTGAAACCTTTCAATTTTCTGATGTCTACTATTTCCAGTATTACTGATATTATTTGAAAAATAAAAGTTTGTTCTTCTTATTGTACAGCTATCCATTTATTTCTTTGATTTAATAGCCATTTTGCTACTGAAAATTTATATAATTTACACTGCTTTTTCTGCTGGTATTTTTACAATTTACAACACAGCAACTGTTATTGCTTTATCGCCTTGGATAAATTTTGCTTGTTTTTGATTTTGTAGGTTTTATTGTGTTTTTTCATGGTTTTTAGTAGCATTGCTGCATTTGGTTGTTGTCAAGTCAACTAGTGTCAAAGTCATAATAAAAACATCTTTTAATTCACTTGTCTTATTTACACAGAATATTTAATTTCTGTGATAATATCACGTAATAATACGTCAATGCGCGTGCGCCTATACTTAATTTAGTACTTAAAATTGGTATCGTTGCAAAAGGAAAAAAATATTTTTAGTTCTGAATTTAGTACTAAATTAATAACTTAATTTAAGACCAAATTTTAGTACTTAATTTAGTATTTTGACATTATGCGTTGTAAAGTTATAAAACCCGGGGGGGGGCAACTGCCCAAACAACGCTTATGCTTAGATTTGCAGGCAGAGACTCTACGATTGACCCACCCACCCCATAATTATTATTATTATTATTATTATTATTATTATTATTATTATTATTATTATTATTATTATTATTATTATTATTATTATTATTATTATTATTATTTTTTGAATAATTTATTTATCATTGGCCTATTTTATATGACAAAATTTAAACATAGACCCTGGTGTTTCAATCAATCCATGGATTCGGGACCGAGGGCTTTACATCTCCTCCAAAAAGGTGACACACTCCACACTATACTTCGTACTCATTAATATAACGCCTGCCCGAGTAGTATGTAACTAAGCGATCAGTTTATTCGGACGCACGCCGACTTTCATTGAAATGGTCACTCATCCAAGTACTAACTGCGCTGGTCTGCCTTGACTACAGATATCGATACATAATAAGTAAACCTGCTAAGTCGGGCGGCTGCTTTTACTTTTAGTTATTGCTGTAAAGTTTGCTGTAATTTTTAACCCTCTTTTAGAGCCCCGATGGTAGATTCATAGCCAAAAACGCTCTACAATTTTTATTTAAATATCTTAGATACTTCAAACACTTTGCACACTTTAAATTTCATTTCACCTCAACTTTTAATCTTTTATTAACATTGTGCTTTTAGTTGATTTTTATGTTTATTTTCAGCCAATTATTTGGAAAACATCAGTCCTGAATTTATTATCAACATTGGCAGCGGTATCACCATACCTTTCGATATTGGACAACCAAATGCTTGTGATTTCTTTACGAATACCATGTGTCCTTTGGTTAAAGATGAACCAATTAGCTACAAACCTAGTTTCAAGTTACCTTCAGTGTTACCAGACAAGGCAAGGCGTTTTAATTGATTCATATTATGTTAAGTAAGCAACGGTGCACCTCAAAGCACCCTAGTGAGGCTTTTATGTTTATCATTTATTAGTAAAGTATTGTAGTAGACTCATATTATTGTCATTGGTTACAAATTGGTATGAATTATGTTACTTTAAAAATTTCAAATACCTTGACTCGGCTTGGTCAGAATGAACGAAAAACATAAAGTCTGTGAGCCACTTATAGTTTTTAATAAAATATTTTGGCGATACTACCTAAATAAACTGGTCTTTATTATTTTATAAAAAAAAAACAAATATTATTACTTACATTTGAAAAGATTTTAATAAATTGTTAATAATTAGTGATTGACAGATTTCATGTTTTTATTTTTTTTTTTATTCATTGTTGAATTTTATTTTTGTTTTATTTTTACAGGTGACAGCTTCTTTTCAATTCTCTCTTGTCGACAAAAGTGAAAAAATTAAAGTGATTTGCTTTATGTTGGATTTCAGCGTAAACAGATAAAATACATTAAATCAAATATGTGATAAATAATTTGCTATGCAAATATGAATCTATTATTAAATTTTATTAAATTTTTTATGTAAGTACACAATGTAATGATATTTTCTTATTTTATTAATAAAGAATTTGTTGATTAATAATGATATAATATTTATATGTATGATATTTAAAAAAAAAATGAATATAGAAATGGTTCAAATGGTGTAACGTAGAACTTCATATTCGTAAAAATGATTACGTTTCTTTGCGTGTTCCAGTCATTTCAATCTTGATGCATAAATTTTTAATTTACGTGAGATTTCATTAATTGATTATGAACTTAACTTTGTTACATAACAGTATGAAGAAAAAGGTTATAAATTGTACTCTGTGTCCCAAATTGGAATCATTATATTGGTATCTTGCTTAATGTAGAAGACAGGAGGTCGCTTAAATGGGGAATTATTTGGATAATTTGATGATGATTTCGAATCAAAATTATTAAAAGTTCACATGCTGAAATTTATTTGTAATCGTCTCCATGTTTTATTAAATTTTGACTGCACCCGAAGATGGAAAAGTTTTCCGAAACATATGTAGTGCTGTGCTAAACAATATAAAATAAAAACGACCGAATAATCCAAGGAAATTTTTATTTCTATAAAATTCTGCGACGGTCAAGAAATTATTCTTTTTTAAAGAAAAGTTTTTGACTTTTAAAAAAAACAAATACCCAATTTTGTATTTTTTAATGGCGGTTTAACAGTTAATAATAAATAATAATAATAATAATAATATGTTTATTAATTTTTAACCACATAATATAATACAGTATGTTTTTATCTTAGTTAATAAACACAGTAATCCACTGAAATAACTTTTAGTTATTTGTGTGTGGTAAAATTAAAATTAAAATATTTTGTACAAGAGTTCCTTAAATAAAATGTAAAATTTTGAAAATAACCTCAACAATAGGTAACACGTTTTATATAAAATTATATATTATTTTTTTTTTAATAAGATATTATGCTTTACTATGTTTAAATGTATAAAATAAGATTTTTCCTTTTCATATTAATTTTAGTCTGTGTGAAATTATTTACTTAATAGTTTTAAATTGTTCATTTATTAGTTAAAAGCATTTTATCTAAATTCTGTTTCATATTTCCTGTCATAACATTTCCCTTTCTTTTTAACATGGCTGTATCTAGACGGTTTATTTCGATTTATATCTAGACGTTTTGAATTCCTATCTAGAAGTTTTATGGTTTTTATGCCTAGAAGTTTAGTACAATCCGAATACCGTTATTTGATTTATCTAGAGAAGATCTCGTTTCGAGTTAAGTTAGAATACCAAATTTCACAATATCATTCAAGTTCCAGAATTAAGAATAAGGATAAGGATAATTAAATTGTGAAATACTCAACTAAATTATTTTCAATATAAAGTAAAAACAGAGGTATCAAACGATATTGCTAAAAGCATAAATTCTCAAATTATAATTGAAAACAGAATAAAGATATGCATTTAAATATAACTTAAAGTTGGTTTGGAATCAAATAGTTATGCAATAGTGAGGTACTTAACCATATAAAGAAAAACACGAAATGCTAGATAATATAGTTCAAAGTCAACTTAGGTATTTTAAGATTGAATTTAAGGAAAACGTAAACAAATTAAAATTTAGTTTAATAACAATATATAAATTTACTACCAATCAAGAGAAAAAAATTCCTAGTAAATGTTTTAGTTAGATAGTCATAATAAAGAATTAATTATAAAGGGAAGAAATTCAAAATCTAAAGAAAATGTAGAATTTAATTTACTAAATTTAATAAAAAGTAGGTAATGATATTGCATAATTCACTGCACTAAGATTCAAATAGCAAGAAAAATTATAAATATATTTCTATACACTCTCCTAATATGGTAAATGCAAACTGACGTCTTAGTTTCAAAAACTTGTACAGAATCATATTAATAACTGATAGATACAAGCAAACGAAAAGAAAATAAAAAACAATAAATTTATTAATATAATTCGGACACTTTCCTAAATTGGTAATTGCAAACTAGATAGTTTCAAATACTTATCCAAAATTATACTAACAAATAAAGAGAAAATTTTTAATAAAAAAATACTATTAGTAACTGAATATATATTACCAAAAATTAAGGAAGCTATTACAGACAGTATTGCTTTAAAAAAATAAGCAGTAGCAGACAGTTAAAAGTTAGAAGGTAATGTCTGGTCTGACTCGTAAATATTCCAATGGTGAAAAGAAAAAAATTGACTACAGGCGGTATTGGTCGTGTAGGTAATAGCAGAACAAAAAGCTAGATACAATATTCTGGCCTGACATTATATATTCCAATAATGTAAAAGGAAAAAATTGACTACAGGCGGTATTACTTGGTCGTGTAGGTAATAGCAGAATAAAATGCTAGTTATAATATTCTGGCCTGACATTAATTATGAAAAGGAAAAATCTTATTTAACATATTTAACTATAGTAAAGCATAATATCTTATTCCAAACAAAATAATATATAATTTTATATAAAACTGACATGTGTTACCCATTGTTGAGGTTATGTTCAAAATTTGATATTTAATTTTAGAAATTCTTGTGCAAAATATATATTTTCAACAAAATATTAGTATTAAAACTTATCTTATAAAATCAGATGGCCAATAAGAATATTAAAAATCAATTAGTACATCGAATGACCAAGATATATTGAAATGAATGTGATCGGTTGATATATTTAAATCAAATGAAATATGAACTTTTGACACAAGGCATAAACGACAAATGACATTTGAGTAGAGGTGAAATAACGAATAACGGTTCCGACCGTTACAAAGTTTACGGAAAGCGGCAACATACGGTTGCGATGGTAACGCTAACTAATAGTATACTGGGAACTACAATGTGTTGATAGTGGCGTGCATTAAAAAATTCATCATCTTTTATTAATTTATCTATGTGCCGTACGCCACTGGCAAAGTTTATTTAACTGAATGTTTTGCTGATAGGTGTATCTTAGGACACCAAAAATGCTGACCGAATTTAGTATAATTATACGAAGAAATAAAAAAAATATTGGCATTATTAATTTTTTAATTTTCAACCTTAACACCCTGTAATTCGGAAACCCGTAATATTTTATTTAAGCATGTTCGTTTAATAGTCTTATTTTTTATCAGATAATTACTGAGGCCCTTCCTATGGGGCCTCAGTATTGCATTCGTGCAGACGAAAAATTTTTCTGACCCCATTTTTTAAAACTTTTTTTCATGTTTCTGATCATTCTGAATCCGAAAATTCAAAAAAAAATTTTTCATCTGGTCGTCTTTATGTATGTATGTCGGCACGATAACTTTAAAACGAAAGTTCAGATTGTAAAAATTTTCATGCTGTGCAAAAAGTTTTAAAGTTATTTAATCAATGGTTAAAACTCAAAAAAAGTCAATACAGAAAAAAGTCTCCAACGCAGAAAAAAAACGAGGCAATGTTTAAAGAAAAATTTGAAAAATTATTCGATATTGCTCGTTTATATCCAAAGCAGAAACTTGACGATACAAAGCAACTATTTTTAGAAGCTCAAAGATCTACCAAGCGTTATGGATTTATTGACCCAAGTGTTTCAAACAAAAAAACTGATCAAGATACTATGGATGTTAATGGTTATTAATAATTTTATTTCCTAGAAAAAAATTATTTATTGCATTTAGTATTTCAAATAGAATTCTGCTTAATCCAATGTCTATTTTTTTTTTTAAATATTTGTTAATACATATTATTTCCACAGATATGGATCAGCCTACATTTGATAATCAAGTTCAGGATAGTGAAGCTCTGGTACGTGTCCAATCATCAACTGATACAGAAACAACATTTGGTAGTCAGAAATCAGCAATCGTTTCTAACTATGAACCTTCTTTCAGTCAGCTCAACCCGCCTCCAAAAATTGATGTTATTACTCCTGAACTTGCATCTGCCCTTGATAGAGCAAACGTTAGTAACCGAAATGCTACTTTTGTTTTAGCTGCTGCTTACCAAAGCATTGGAATAAATATAGAAACATTAAACTTAAGCTATAGTACTATTCGACGAGGTCGTATAGAGTTTAGAAAAACTATCGCTAAACACTTGAAAAATAAGTTCAAAGCTGTAGATCGTTACACTGTTCATTGGGATGGCAAGCTTCTAGCTGATTTGGCCGGTTCTGAAACTGTAAATAGAATTGCAATCATACTATCTACTTCAAATGTTAATCAACTCCTCGGTGTACCAAAAATATCTGATAAAACTGCAGAAAATCATTCTGTAGCAATATTAAATACATTGGAAGAGTGTAAAGTTACTTCTAACATCAAGGCAATGTGCTTTGACACTCCAGCAGTTAATACTGGTATGGTTTGTTTTGTTATCTTATTCAAATGATTGGACTTATCTATAATCCAGACATTTACACTTAATTTAGAGGAATACTAAATGGTACAGCTGCGTTGATTGAAAAAAAATTGAACCGCAAACTAATTTGGTAACCTTATCGCCACCATATTTTTAAAATTATTTTGAAAGGAGTTTTTGAAGTTTTCTGGCCGACAACTTCTGGTCCTAACGTTCCAATTTTTGGACGTTTCAAAAATTTTTGGAGTGAAATCGATCAATTGAAGTACCAAAGTGGCATGCAAGATGAATTAATTGCAAATACATTTTTAACGAAAAGACTTGAATTGATTAACCTAATTAATAATGTATTAAAGGTATATTATTATTTTGTGCTCGAAACAGTCGAAAATTTGCATTTGATGATTTCAATTAACAATTTTTTTATTAAACAGTTGCTCAGTCAAGAAATGATTACAAGGAACTTCTCGACTTATCATTGATTTTTCTTGATGGTCTCCCCGAAGGTACAGCAAGTTTTAAATGCCCAGGAGCAATGCATCATGCACGATGGATGGCTAAAGCGATTTACAGCTTAAAAATTTTCATGTTCAGAGGTCAATTTATACTTTCTGATATTGATAGCTTGCGTCAAATATGTACTTTTAATATTTTAATTTACATCAAAGTATGGTTTACTTGTTCTGTGGCAATCCAAGCGCCGAATAATGATCTGCAACTGTTGAAGAAGTTACTTT